TTGGTAATTTTAATTCACAATTTCATAATGTAATAGATCTAGGCTATTAAAGAAGATTAAATGTTCCAAGAGGCTGTTGTTGTTTTGTTGGGGGGGGGGGGGGTTGTTCTTTGGTTTTGTTTTGAGCGATTTGTATGTTATACATTTCCCTTAAAATAGATAAGAAAACAAGACAAAGTATTCAAGCGCGAGGGCTTGACAGTGCTCTACCCTAGAATGGCAAAGTTCTATCTGCTCAGGACCTAGTTTAGAAAAATTTGACGTAAAAAATGTTGAGTTTCACGACATATAAACTTTTTCAAATTAAATTCCTAGAATATCTTGATAAAGACTCCGAGACCTCTTAAGATTTTGATAAAGCAGAAAGAACATTTCGGCTCTGATCTCATGGTCCCAGTAACTCAAAAGGGCCAAAATGTCAGACAGAACGGTTAAGTCTCAGGTAGAGGGTAATCAAAGTGAGACGTAGAACCGAATAGAGATGAGCACACTCTAGAAAAACTCTCCTTAACAAGAACATTCTTCTTCTTCTTCTTCTTTGTGTTTGATTATTTAAATAATTAGTGGGGGTTTTTATCAAGTATTTTTGCATACTCTACCTCAACCCCTCCCAAGACTGTCGTGGGGGAGGGGGGGGGGAGGGGCACATACCCCATCTTACTCTCCTCGAATGGGGAGAGAGAAAGAGAGAGACCGGATTTTGCAACTATTTGTTTTTCACCGAACCTATCAATTAAAACAGGTATGCCGACAAATCACACGGGGGTTACTTATTCCAATGGATGAACAGCCTGCTTCTTATTCGAGCAGGTGTTTCTGAGTTGTGACCTGTGATTTTGTTTGAAAATCTAAACAGTTTCCTCGAAATAATCTCTTCCAGTGCTGTTATCTGCATATTTTCCTGACCTCGTTTAGTTTTACTAAGCGTTTTGCGGCACTTGCAGCACAATTAAGTCTTATAAGTGACCAGGATTACAGGTGTTATAAGAGAGGAACGAACAAAGCAAATGAAGGAAGAGATATGAGAAAGATAGATTTTTGTTTTATAGGGAAAAAGGGGCAAACCACACCAGACGTTCGCTAATGACCCAATTTTCTAACTCAGCCTCTTCCATTATTAAGCAAAATTAAGAAAAATGTTCCCTTATTAGCCTATTTGATTTCCAGGTAACAAGGACTAGAGCTGAAATTGGCCAACAAAGTACAATAACAATGATTTTCCATTAAAGATGAAACCGACTGGCTTGGCAATGGGGGGGGGGAGTAATACGATGAAAAAAGCTTAGGCTTTTGGAGAAATTGGTGACTAACTAACTAACTAATTAACTAACTTACTAACTAACACAAAAACTAACAAACAAAAACAAAGCAAAAAACTTAACCCTGATTTGATCGAAAAACTTGAAAAAACTCAAAATCAAAAGACTCTTTTTCTCTTCAAGCTGCACCATGAAAATAAATTATTTTAGTTTATCAGCACGAAAAACCCAACATAACAAACACATTTGGAGCTATCTTCGCTTAGATCAAGGCAAAATCATCATGAAAAGGAGTAAATAAAAATGGACTTGTTTCAAACTGGAAAAAGTAACTCTAGACTCTAGATTTTCTACTAAAGTAAAAACGCGGGTGGTTGGCAGATATTCTGGTGTGGTATACTACCTCTTTCCAATCAGTCATCAGTCTGTAGTTCTGATTTCTCCTCCTTCATTCGTGTGCTTGTTACTCTCTTGTAACACCTCTAATCTTTGGCACTTGTTTGACCTTGTTGTCTTGCAAGTGCCGTAAAACTCCTTTAAAAACGAAAAGTAAAAGCATCTTTCTTCCGCAACGTCACAGCAACTCAAAAATCACGCCAAAGAGAGTGAGTGGGTGGCTGGCGGGTGCTCTGGTGTGGTTTGCTTCTTCTTTCCTATCAAACATCTATCGTCCTTATCTCCCCTTCTTCTATATTATGTTTGTCACTCTCTTGTAACACATCTAATCTTCAGGCGCTCATATGACCGAATGCAGTTGCGAGCGCCGTAAAACCTCTCCTAAAACTAAAGAGAGAGAGCGAAGAGTGACCTCGTATGTGCTTCGTATGTAGGTCACGTAAGTTCCAAATAAGGAGATTGAATTTTATCTTCATCTTTTTTTTTCTTCTGTATCCCCAGAAATCGACCTTCACCTTTCCAACCCTCCTCTCTTCGACTATGGTACACATACTGGAGACATTGAGCTAAAAGACCTCTCCTCGGTAAACGACCGCAGGCTGGCACTGCCCTTCAACATCTCATACCTCGGCTCCAGCTACAAGACCCTCTACGTGAGTATTGAATTGGCATCTGTGCTGTGTAGCGGTTAGTTAGGCACTTCGCCGTCGCCTGCAGAAGTAAAAGATCCGAGTTCAATTCCCGGGTTTGTCTTTCAGGCTCGGTCGGAAGCCCACCTCCAAATACCGAGCATCTCAATCTTTCTGTTGGGGTGTTCTATCACTCTCTGCCCATCTCCAAAATGATCTGAAATGTGTCTGTTTCGGGCTTTGAAATACCTATATTCCAAAAATAAAATGTCCATGTGAATAGATGTTCAGTTACAGGTACGGTACGCTAGAACTCCCCACCCCCCTCTCACCTTTTCTGAAAAAAGGTACCTTTCCCCCTCCCATTCTTTTTCCACTCATAACGCACTTAGACGTGAGCGGGACAGCAAACGAATGCACTCTCATAAATACTCTCTCTCTCTCTCTCTCTCTCTCTCTCTCTCTCTCTCTCTCTCTCTCTTTCTCTCCCTCTCTCTCTCTTTCTATGTATCTATATTTCTTTCCTTCACTCACAGATACACACACACACACACACACACACTCACACACACGCA